TTTGACCACAGGACTTCCAAGCCATACATATCACAGATACTTCTGTAAACTATGCCAGGCACTTGGTTATGGTGTGCCATGTATGCCCTGCCTGTCTCACATGCTGCTGTTATGTGCTAGACTGTCTGAGTCTGGCCTGTACCTGGGGTCTTACCTAGCATGCCAGACCCAAGCCTCTATCATACTTGCAACTTGTTCCTGTGATGTGTTTCTAGCTTGTTCCTCTGTGCTGTCTTCCAGTCCAGCTTGGTCAAGCCATTGGTAGTGTGATGGCCAAACCCGTGGCCACACTCTAAAGTCATTAACTCTTGTATTTTCATTTCTTCATTTGAACATAGTAATACACTTTAGTTTTCAATAACTTTATTGATTGGTTTGGATACATTTGTTCTATTGTTAAGCGCGCACATTTAGTTTACTTATGTGTTCATACCACTTCATTTTTTTCACTTTGATTTTTGACTAACCTTTGTCTTTTTATTTCTTACCTGCCGTCATCCGTGGGAGTTGCTGGACAAAAGATGGTAGCCAGGGTTTGAAACCACTAAATGCAAAGAGGGATAATTGGACCACACCACCACTTCCTACTGAAGGGGAAAATGTTTTTAAATTAAAGGAAACACACAAAGTATTTGTATTTAATTAAATATTTGAGTTTAGGGTTTAATGGTTTTGATTTTCTTCTTTAGTGTTTAGTTTATTAACAAACTAGATTGTACTCCATTGTGTTGTGATTTATGATTGTGTTTGTTTGTTGCCCCTCATGTGTCACAATGGTCTGATCAGCTATTATATATACCCCTGTGCGTCATGTTTAGGTCAATTATTGTTGTTTGGGCAGTCATTTGGTTTGTTAAGTTTGCAGTCTTTGCCTGAGTTCAATTTTGTTTCTTTGACCTCTTTTATGAGCTCAACATTTATTACTTTTGTAAATCTAATTTTTGGGGGTTAAATAAATGAAAACCATATTTTTCTAATAATTCCTGGGACTCCTGTTTTTCAACTCAGTCCATCACAGGTAGGATTTTTCAATATCAGCCACTTTTTCTGTCTACTGGTGGTTCATGCCATGTAGGGGCCTGTTGTTCCATGATTGTTCCTCTTCTTGATCCCCTTGTTTCTTGGGTTTCTCGCTGCCTCACGTATTTACTGAGCAATTAAATAAAATTTTATTTATATAGCACACAAAGCAAGGTGTTTAAAGCACTCTTCTGGGAGATCTCAGATATCACTCCTGGGATCTGCAGGAGCCACCTGCCCAGTTTAGAGGTCACTGCCCAAAGTGCTAGCATCTTGCACCCTGCTGTTATGTGCTTGATTGTCTCAGGGGCATCTTTACACACTCTGCACCTGGGCTCTTGCCTGGTGTGGTAGACCCTAATGATGTGCGATACCACTGATTTCCTTTCCGATCCAATATTGAATTGTATTTCATAATGCAATATGTAATTGTAATATTATTATAATATAGCTTCATAATGATTACAGGACATCAAACTACTTGTTCTTATTGCTTAATAATGCAGAAAAATCATATAGAAATAAATAAAACCTGAAGTTGTGCTATTTGAACACCTTGCCTGCCTGCAGCACTAAAGGACTCCGTGAGAGACGTCTGTCTCGCCCTAGCAGCACCTGTCCCTCTCCTCCTCTTCAGTTCGCCTCAACATAAGCTCGTCATATTCTGTGATATGATTTACTCTGAGGTGTTTGACGAGGTTAGTGGTGTTGCCACAACACCTCACTTTCTTGCCACATGTATCGCAAACCGCTTCTTGGCTGTTTGTGGAAGTAAAATATGCCCACACATGACTCTGTTTACACTCAGCCATTGTGAGTGCGCACGCCAGAGGCTGCCACACATTTATACAGCTGTATTTCGCATATGACTATGAACGGCATAAGAGGAAGTGGTTCCTTCCAATTTAGACGACCCGAATGATATAGTTTCTTTCCACTGTGTTCCTGTTAATGAAACACTACAAATTTACCCCAAAGTACTAAAATGTCGATATTTTAATATGAGAAGCGATTCTAGAACTTAAACTACTGGTATCAGAAGAATCGATATTTCTATATCAATCCGCACACCACTAGTATACCCATCTATGAACCTTGTGAGGTTGTTCCTGTGCCCTTCACACTTGGCTGCAAACCATTCCAGTGTGAGCTTGAGGCCATCACCTGATGAACCCAACAGAACAACATCATCCGGGAAAAGCAGAGATGTGATTCTGAGACCGACTAAGTGAATGCCTTCCGTCACTTGGCTACGCCTAGAAATTCTGTCAATAAAAATTATGAACAGAATCGGTGACAAATGGCAGCCCTGGCAGAGCCTATCACCCACTGGGAATGAGTCTTATTTATTACCGGCTATGCGACCCAACGGTTGTATAAGGATCAAATGTTTCCTTCTTGCCTCATACAGCATACAAGCACATCATCTAAACCTTTTACTCATTTGTTGCCAAAAACTTATCCACTTATGATGTGCATTTCAAACTGTAATATGAGCTACACATATGCTGGATCTCATACACTGATATTTTATTTATTATTCATAAGGTTCAAATGCATCATACATTTTTTAATATAGTAAAAAATAGCACAACAGTACAGTGGATTATTTTACAAGAGGATGATTCTCTCCCCTCCTTTAACCTGTGAACTTTCCCAAAGGCTCCCAAGCAAGTGACATGAATTATTTCATGTAGCCTTCAGCCAAACTAAAAATTACACCTTTTAGAAAAGATAACTGAATAATTCGCCATCTCCAGGAGTTTAGCTCTACAAGTTAATTATGATGATTATTTAATAGTGCATAACTATTGCAGAGGGTTCATGACATATTTCAAGGTCATAAATTATTAAGTTCTCACCTTCACAGTTTGTCCGGCTTCAGGGCCATCCTGGTGGGAAAAGAAAGGGGTAATTAGTCCAGAGATGAGAATTTAGAAATACTTGCATTAATATTTTAAAGAAAGAATTTAATTTAAGATGAGGTAATAACATCTCACCTCCCCTAAAACAACCCCCTTGGTTTGTGTCAAAGCCGTCTTTATCCTGAGATATTTGTCTTCATAGGCAACTTTTTGGCTATATTTATTCAATGGGATTTAGTTTTTTAAATGTTCCATATTTAGACTAAAGTGCATACAACCAACGTTAATTGAAGGATTTTAACAAAGATATAGCTGTATCTGTTTAAGAATTACAGCCAACTCAAAATCTCCACTTTAAACCATTACTCAAAACCTTTTGGAACAGATGGATTTGCAGAACAGTCATTAACACTCGATCCAACAGCTATAATGTAAAAATACAGCAGGTAAATTCTCCATTTATCTTCTAGAGATTGTCAAATTATGTTAAATGTGATTTTTTATCTAATTGCATTTATGTATTTTGTATGTGATTTTTCCACTGAGCTTACCTGCAGTGGAAAAATTGCCCTGGCAATAGTCACCCAGTTGGGTCACTCAGATTTCCCATGCTAGGAAATACTATTAAAACTTATTTTGTGGCTCTAGTCAGAGTGTGAGTGTGGTTTGTTACAGATGCAGCAGTACAAGACACAGTATGTTTGTTGTCCCTTTACTGTCCGCTGCAGCATAATACTCGCTGGAGGTGAGTGACTATTTTTTGCGCCTCGATCCTTTTCCAAAATGAAGGAAAGTGAAATAACTACTGAGTTACCAGTTTATGGGCCCACGTATGAAAAGACCAATCCTCTCACATGTACTATTGCTAAATCGCCACCTTTTTTTCTTTACTTTTGGTCCCTTGCGCAAAAAGATCTAAGAAAAGACCTTTTTTCAGATTAACATTTGATATGTTTTCAAGGCTATATTGTGAATAAATATGGTTGATCTGATCATTGAATCTGACTTTTCGTTTTTACATGTTACACAACTTTTCAACTTTCTCAGATTTGGGTTTGTAGAAAAAAAGATACAGTCAGTATCTACACAATTATGTGACCACACTGATCATTACTTCCCATCACCTTACAGTAAAAAAATGAGCTACATAGTTTTTTCCCCCCTCTCTCTGTCCTAAATGTGCTTCAAGACCATCTCCATTGTGCCAGGGCCGAAACACTCACCACCAACATACCTGAACAACTGTCACCCTGTTGAACTCGTGCCCATAGTTATGAAATCTTTTGAGCAACTGCTCATGGCACAGCTCAAGAGATGCTTGCTCCCCTCGGATCTTCAGCTCTCTTGGGTGCCATGGACGGCTGGGGTCTCCTGGGTCTTACCCAGTCTGCCTCTGGCTCTCGGGAGGGTGGCATTACTGCATTATTATCCTATTTTTATTATTACCCTATTTTTATTATTACCCTATTTTTCAAGTACCGTCATGGTTCTGGGTCATATCACCCAGCATTTTGAGTTTATGGTGTTTTCACGTCTGCGTCCTGTTATGATGGCTGTGGCATTCCTGTCCCCCGTGGAGTCCTTGTGATCATTCACCTCCTGTGTGTATTTACTCTGTCAGTTTTCATTCATTTCTCATCTGTCCACCCTACTTTGTCATGCCATGTTTCCAGGTCTATGAAATGATGCTTCTTCAAGTCTTCATGTTTTAGGTTTCTCATGTCAGGTTTCTATGTTCATGTTCACGTCCAGCTTTGTTAAGATCAAGTTGGGTTTTTGCTTGTCTGCACTTGGGTCCACCAGGTCACTTCACAAAGTCAGCTTCTCCCCGACTGTGACAGTGACTGTTAAAAAATATTACCGAGTGTGTGGTTTACCTGAATGGTGATGGTGATTGAGGTGGCATTGAAGTGTTTCTCCACCAAGTTGGCGACTCTCTGAGCGGTGGAGAACAAATCTGCTAGCTCATCTGGCCGAAGATCCCGAAAACGCTCAACTGGTCTGAGTGGGCACACCAGCACATCTGAGCAGCTCTGTTAAGGAATTACCATGCTGCAGATATGGTTGGAAAGTCAGGAAGCACTGAGATAAGAAAGTCGGTTAGCTCTGCAATATTATGAAAAATGCTCATGTTCTTCATTCAGCAAAGTAAATCTGAGAGTTTTTTGTTGAAGTAATATAAGCTTAAAAGATATAATCAGGCAATGCTTTTTAAAGTGAAAATTGTGAAAATGGCCTAGAAAAAATTGAGTGTACCCTTAACTAAATATTTTATTACAGCCTTATGAGACAAACTGCAATCCAGGGATTTCTGTAACTCCTGGTACAGTAAATAACCAAAACAAAAGGTTGCACTTCTGATTTGCAGCTCAAAACTAAGAATCATGTCAAAGATGACACCTAAATATTGGATTTGGAGGTATTCATTGCTAGTAAATATACACTCAACAAAAATATAAACGCAACACCTTTGTTACTGCTCCCATTCCCCATGGGATGGACGTAGAGACCTAAAATTAATTCCAGATACACAATATAACCATCCCTCCCAAACAGTGGTCACAAATCAGTCCAAATGTGTGGTAGTGAGCACATCTGCTATATTGAGATAATCCATCCCACCTCACAGGTGTGCCACATCAGGATGCTGATCTGACATCATGAGTAGTGCACAGGTGTACCTCAGACTGCCCACAACAAAAGGCCACCCTGGAATGTGCAGTTTTTTTGCGCTATTGGGGGTCTGGGGACCCAGAACTGGTCAGTATCTGGTGTGACCACCATTTGCCTCATGCAGTGCAACACATCGTCGCATGGAATCTATCAGATTGTCAATTGTGGCCTGTGGAATGTTGGTCCACTCCACTTCAATGGCTGTGCGAGGTTGTTGGATATTCGTGGGAACTGGTACACGCTGTCGTATACGCCGGTCAATCACATCCCGAACATGCTCAATGGGTGACATTTCCGGTGAGTATGCTGGCCATGCAAGAACTGGGACATTCTCAGCTGCCATCTGCCCTGAACAATGTGAACCATGATTCATCCGTGAAGCGCACACCTCTCCAACGTGCCAGACGCCACAAGTCTGTTACGGCGACGAGCTGGAGTCAGGTCAAGACCCCGATGAGGACAACGGGCATGCAGTTGAGCGTCCCTGAGACGGTTTCTGACAGTTTGTGCAGAAATTGTTTGGTTGTGCAAACCAATTGTTCCAGCAGCTGTCTGGGTGGCTGGTCTCAGACGATCTTGGAGGTGAACCTGCTGGATGTGGAGGTCCTGGGCTGGTGTGGTTACACGAGGTCTGCGGTTGTGAGGCCGGTTGGATGTGCTGCCATATTCTCTGAAACGCCTGTGGAGACGGCTTATGGTTGAGAAATGAACATTCAATGCACGGGCGACAGATCTGGTTGACATTCCTGCTGTCAGCATGCCAATTGCACGCTCCCTCATTGCTTGTGGCATCTGTGGCATTTTGCTGTGAGACAAAACTGCACATTCCAGGGTGGCCTTTTGTTGTGGGCAGTCTGAGGTACGCCTGTGCACTACTCATGATGTCAGATCAGCATCCTGATGTGGCACACCTGTGAGGTGGGATGGATTATCTCAATATAGCAGATGTGCCCACTACCACACATTTGGACTGATTTGTGACCACTGTTTGGGAGGGATGGTTATATTGTGTATCTGGAATTAATTTTAGGTCTCTACGTCCATCCCATGGGGAATGGGAGCAGTAACAAAGGTGTTGCGTTTATATTTTTGTTGAGTGTAGATGTGCTGACAGCTTCTAGTACCAATAACTAAAACTTCTGATTTGTCCTGGTTGAGCTGTAAAATGTTTTCTCCCATCTACATTTTTACTATAAAAAGATCTAACTTAAAAGAGTCTATTGGCCCAGGTTAAAAATGAGGCACAGAGTATTTGGGGTGGCTGTCACCTTTGATTTTATTTTTATACTTAGGTATACTTATACTTTAGACTTAATACATATTTGCCTTAAACAAATATATATTAAATTTTTAACAATAATATTCTATGATAATTACAAAAGACCTCAGCAAATTTAAAATGCATATGCTGTTAATGAATTAACTTCTTTTGGATTACTTTCACTGGTTGAAACACTATACTTCATCACTGGCAGGAACTGATTGTAGCCAAGGATCTCGCAAAATCATGTCAGAGGCCAGCTGTCTGCTTCAAGTGGCTGAATCTTACTGCTCAAGAACCAGTGGGGAGCGAAAGTCATCAGAGATGCTTAGCATCCGATTTTAAACTCCTCCCCTCCACCTGGCAGGTACTAGAAAACCTCCCATACCACAACAACTAGAGACAGTTTTTTCCCCCACTGCCATCACACTCATAAATCATGACCAGTATCTGTGCTATATACCCATTCTAGGTTATTCTACAGGGTGGGCCATTTATATGAATACATCATAATAAAATGGGAATGGTTGGTTATATTAAAGTCCTGTTTGTGGCACATTAGTATATGTGAGGGGGCAAACTCCTCAAGATGGGTGTTGACCATGGTGGCCATTTAGAAGTCGGCCATCTTGGATACAACTTTTGGTTTTTTCAATAGGAAGAGGGCCATGTGACACATCAAACTTATTGGTAATGTCACAAGAAAAACAATGGTGTGCTTGGTTTCAACGTAACTTTATTCTTTCATGAGTTATTTACAAGTTTCTGAGCACTTATAAAATGTGTTCAGTGTGCAGCCCATTGTGTTGGATTGTCAATGCAACCCTCTTCTCCCACTCTTCACACACTGATAGCAACACCGCAGGAGAAATGCCAGCACAGGCATCCAGTATCCGTAGTTTCAGGTGCTGCACATCTCGTATCTTCACACCATAGACAATTGCCTTCAGATGACCCCAAAGATAAAAGTCTAAGGGGGTCAGATCGGGAGACCTTGGGGGCCATTCAACTGGCCCACGACGACCAATCCACTTTCCAGGAAACTGTTCATCTAGGAATGCTCGGACCTGGCACCCATAATGTGGTGGTGCACCATCTTGCTGGAAAAACTCAGGGAACGTGCCAGCTTCAGTGCATAAAGAGGGAAACACATCATCATGTAGCAATTTCAAATATCCAGTGGCCTTGAGGTTTCCATTGATGAAGAATGGACCCACTATCGTTGTACCCCATATACCACACCAAACCATCACTTTTGTTGTTCCAACAGTCTTGGAGGGATCCATCCAATGTGGGTTAGTGTCAGACCAATAGCGGTGGTTTTGTTTGTTAACTTCACCATTCACATAAAAGTTTGCCTCATCACTGAACAAAATCTTCTGCGTGAACTGAGGGTCCTGTTCCAATTTTTGTTTTGCCCATTCTGCAAATTCTGTGCGCCGATCTGGGTCATCCTCGTTGAGATGCTGCAGTAGCTGGAGTTTGTAAGGGTGCCATTTGTGAGTAGCTAATATCTGCCGAAGGGATGTTCGACTAATGCCACTCTCCAGTGACATGCAGCGAAGTGCTACGCTGTGGGCTCTTGCTAATGAACTGGCGCAGATGTTCTAGGACAGTTGCGTCCACATTGGACACTGCGTCGAAATTACCTTCAACTTAGCATGGAGGTTCAGTTTGCATTATCTTATGTTTGCGATCGCGTACATTTTGGCAAATCCAACACTGAACCAGTTTCACGAAACTTAGCAAGCAGTTTGCTGACTGTAGCATGGGAGATGGGTGGTCTCGTAGGGTGTCTTGCATTGAAATCTGCTGCAATGACCCGGTTACTGCGTTCACCAGATATCAACACAATTTCGATCCGCTCCTCACATGTTAACCTCTTCGACATGTCAATGGCTGTGAACAAAGAGAAACTTGTAAATAACTCATGAAAGAATAAAGTTACGTTGAAACCAAGCACACCATTGTTTTTCTTGTGACATTACCAATAAGTTTGATGTGTCACATGGCCCTCTTCCTATTGAAAAAACAAAAGTTGTATCCAAGATGGCCGACTTCTAAATGGCCACCATGGTCACCACCCATCTTGAGGAGTTTGCCCCCTCACATATACTAATGTGCCACAAACAGGACTTTAATATCACCAACCATTCCCATTTTATTACGGTGTATCCATATAAATGGCCCACCCTGTATAGTTATACACCTGCTGTACTGTACACATACCAGCATCACATCTTTATCTATCTATCTATCTATCTATCTATCTATCTATCTATCTATCTATCTAGATACTGCATCATTATATATATATATATTTATTCATTAGGGGTGCAACGAATACTCGTATCGATATTGAACCGTTCGATACAGTGCTTTCGGTTCGGTACGCATATGTATCGAACAATACAAAATTTTTTATTTATTTTATCAACTTTCCTTCTGACGATGCTGTCTGTGTTGACGCTCGGTGGATCTGCGCTCGACAGTGCAGCCTAGGCGGAGTAGTCGAATGCAGATTCACAGAGTGTATGACCCTGAAGGTAAGCGCGTCATGGACAAAAGTAAAACAGTATGTTGGATGTGCCACGCAATGCTCAATTACATGGGTGGGAGCTAGTGTGTTGGCGCAGTTAGCTCGTTAACGTGTTGGCCGTCCAGCCCCATGCACGGGGCGATCAGGGGTAGCTCGTTAACGGAGATTTGCCGTGTTGTGGCGTTAACGTCATTTCAATGAGATTAACGCTGACAGCACTAGTGGGAACACAACGAATATGACTGCACATTTACACCGACATCATCCTAGTGCAAAGACAAGTGGAAGCAGACAAAAACACAAGCATGCATGCTACAAACTTTACCCGAGTCATTTAGACAGCCGTTAGCACATGATTCTCCTTATGGGGACCTGATATGTTTAATATGCTGCTGAGAATATAGCCCAGAAGAAGCGTATAGTATAGCTTTTATTTTGGAAAGAGCCATTTCTCTGTAATAAACTCTCTTTTCCAAAGATGAGTGATTCCTCAATCAGATACAGGGCTCGCAAAATCGCTAGCCCGACGTCCCGGGCTAGCGATTTTTCC